GCTCATGTCTGAATTATTCATGTAGCTCGAATTATAGGAACAATTAAATCAAAATTCATGATTAAAGTCGATGCCAATTAGTATGTTAGTTAATTAATATTAAAATAAAGATATCTGCGTATGGTGGGAACAAGCAAATGTCAGATTAACGCATATTTTGATTGGAATAAATTTAACTACAAATACATGTCAGTGTAAAATCACATGTCAGTAATGAATCATAAAAAGGTTATCAGTGATTGTGTATTTGCGTATATGTACACTAGTCTAAGTGCGACGTTATGCAGTGAGTATAATAATATAGATCACACTTATATGGTTTTACTTTTCTTGACATGTACTTACGAGGATGGGATGAAATGTTCCCGGCCTAACCTATAGTAGGCCCGATTTGCTTTCCTGTTCCAACGTGTCTATGTAGCCTTGCTTGTCGTCAGTATACGCTCGAAGTTTAAAGTGAGTGCGTCAAGCAGTTTGTGTCCTGGATATTTTAAAAGCTTATAAAGTGCGCCACTTTTAAAGGATGAAAAAAAAAACGAGATAAGAGCGGTGATAAAATATTTCCATATCAAAAGATTATCGCCGACGGAAATAAAAGCTGAATTAGATGCTACACTAGGGGAATCTGCTACTTCATTTACCGCAGTTAAAACCTGGGTAGCGGACTTTAAACGTGGTCGTACTAGCACTGATGAAGCTCCGCGTTCTGGCAGGCCAAAAACGGCAACTTCTGAAGAAATGGTGCAAACTGTTCACAAACTAATTCTAAAAGATCGCAGATTAAAATTGGAAGAGGTAGCTGAGGCTGTGGGCATATCAAAAGAGTGAGTTCACTATATTTTGTGTGAAGTTTTAGGTATGAGAAAGCTATCCGCCCGATGGGTGCCGCGTTTGCTCACGTCAGATCAGAAGCTCACGCGGCTAACCATTTCAGAGGAGAATTTGGCACTGTTTAGACGTGATCCAGAGGACTTTTTGCGTAGATTTATTACGGTTGATGAAACATGGGTTTATCATTATACCCCTGAAACTAAACAACAGTCCAAACAGTGGACGGCAAAGGACGAACCAGTTCCAAAGGCAGTACCGGCTGCTGGAAAGGTCATGGCAACGGTCTTTTGGGATGTTAAAGGGAAGAACAATACATTCCGAGTACTACAGCGACTTACTGAACTAGCTTAAGCAGAATATAATCGAAAACTGCCCTGGTTTGACAACAAAAAGAAAATTCTGTTTCATCAGGACAATGCACCTTGCCACAAGTCCGTTCTTGTAATGGCTAAAATTCATCAGCTAGGCTTTGAACTGTTAAACCATCCTCTGTATTCGCCAGACCTAGCCCCGTCAGACTTTCGTTTCCAAACTTAAAAATTTTTCTTGCTGGCAAACATTTTTCCACGGATTTAGAAATAATTGCAGCCACAAACGACTATTTTGACGAGTTGGATAAATCAGACTACAGTGACGGTATTAAATCGCTTGAACATCGTAGGGTCAAATGTATTACCCTACAAGGGGACTATGTAGAAAAATAAATTCTTATTTAGTCACTATTGTGTTGCGTTCTATGTTAGGCCAGAAAATTTTCATCCCATCCTTGTATTCCCACCACACACAGATATAATACTTGGCATTCTATATTATACTCTCAGTTTAACAGTTTAACATATCCCCTTAACCCCCATTTTCAATCAGATTATTTCAGAATCAATTTGATATTGTTTTTGGTTTCTGAGTTAGGATTTTTTTCTATATTTCAACCCTCATTATCCCCCCATTTTATTCAGATATTTTTTTCATTCTTACTTTTTCATTTGAATGAACCTTATAGAACTTGATTTTTACTAATTTCATGTTTATATCGATTTTCGTTTTTAATTTATGATTTTTGTTTAATGTTAACCCCCTTAAACTCTCTACTTTTAATCAGATTTTTTTAAATCAAAGGGATTCTTTCCCTTGTAAAGCTTGATTTTTGCTAAAAATTTCACATTGATATCGCTTTTCGTTTTTGATTTATGATTTTTTATTTAAATTTCAACCCCATTTTTATTCAGATTTTTTTCCAAAATCAATAGGCTTCTTCCTCTTAGAGAGCTTGATTTTTGCTAAAAATTTCAAGTTGATATCATTTTTCGTTTTTGAGTAAGGATTTTCTTTTTAAATTTCAACCCCCTTGACCCCCAATTTTGATTTAATTTTTTTTTAAATAAACAGGCTTCGTCCTTTATAGAGATTGATTTTTTAAGTTGATATCATTTTTTATTTATGACTTATCGTGTAGACAAAAAACGTGACATCACAGTCAACGGACGGACATTTTTAAAATATGTTTAAAATGTGATAAGAAGAATTTTGGTACAAACAACTTTAAATTTGGACCAATGTTAAATATTTTGAATTCTTAAAATGAAACCTATAATACTCTTCACAGACTAGTGTGTGAGAAAATATAATAAAGACTATATTTGTGACACAATAGTAGTTGTATGTTCTACACCAATAGTGCCATTATAGGTAAATTAGAAGAAAAAATAAAATGTTTATTGATAATCAGGTAGGTGTGAATAAAAATCAACTTTTTTCTCAACAATCAATTCACTACTATATAGGTAATATAGAGTTCATCATAATTATTTTTACAAATTGTGCTATTGATGGAAAAGAAACTGCACCAAAAATCAGAACCCTTATTTCATACAAATCTGGGCCTCAGTTTCTTTCCATTCCTCTGAATAAAAATCTGATGTGTCCAACACATGACTTTCCTATCTAGTTATTATAGGCGCGCGCGCGCCCACACACACACACACACACACACACACACACACACACACACACACACACACACACACACACACACACACATACACACACACACACACACACACACACGCACGCACGCACGCACTCACGCACGCACACACAGACACAGACACACACACACACACACACACACACACACACACACACACACACACACACACACACACACACACACACACACACACACACACACACACACACGGATTCAGGGGACCTCAAAACGTAAAAATCCGTCGAAAACTCGAGGTCGAAAAAAATCATTATTCCTATACTTTCCTTATATCTGTATTCAGATAGGAAAGTAAAAAACGTTGACAATTTCGATAAAAGTCTCTTATGATAACTCAGTGTCGGATGGGACCTCCAGGGTCTACCGGTCAGGAGTGAGAAGGGCCCACCTTTTTCATGTTCCGATTTTTCCGATGTTTCATTGAAGAGCAAAACAAAGTCCTCTCTCATTGAAGAGCAAAAAAGGTCCTCTCTCTTGGAAGAGCAAAAAAGGTCCTCCTACGTATTACGGGGTTCGGAGTTCTTGCATTTAATTTACGAAGACCCACTTCCTGAACGAGGGCCGACTGTTTTTGGTACTACTATAGTATTTGAATATCAAAGGAAAAGTCGAGCGACTGTTTCCCCACTGAAAGCAACTACTCCCTTGGTTAATACTGCAACAGGCATTAATAATAATACTCTCCCTAATTCACCCCCTTACGATTGAATTTCAGCCCCTGAAGCCGACTGAACGACTTGTGTAGCGGAAGGGACGGTGATTATTATTTTTCGTGGCGCTTCGGGGTGACAGATGATTGATGGCGCCATTTGACTTACAGGTGAGGAAAACCTCACCCACCATTATCGAGACGGTAACGGAAGGCGATTTATAATTTGGATGTCATATCAACAGAAATTGAATTTCTGTTAATACGTTACACATCAAATCCTATAACATACCATGCAATTTAATTAACAATCCACATGGTCTGGTGTAGGATTCGATGGCGTTCTGTCTCTGAACCTATAAATGATTATAAGCGCGTTAGACAGCTACGCCACCGACCCGACCATTGCATTATATCAGAGATATATCATTTTCAACATTCTAGCTTTAATTTTGGAGAAAGTCATACATGGATCGGTTTTGCTCCTATTAGAAGATTTTCTTTTTCGTAAAATGGAATTAATTTCCTTTCCTGTTCTTTGATATATATTAATGATTAATGATCATTTTTAACATGTTTAATACTTCTTCCATAGAGTTCATCGAGTACAGGTAATCATCTATGTAGTGCTGCCGGCCATGTCTATTATTTACAGACTTCAGAAAAGGAGGAGGTTCTCAATTCGTCGTAATATTTTTTTTATGTATGCTCAGCGATAATTCTTTGACACGGTGTCCGATTTCAATGATTCTTTTTTTGTTAGAAAGGGGTTACTTCAGGGGTGGTCCCATATTAATTTGGTCAAAAACTAATAATTGGATCCATTAGAAAAATCCTCAAATTCTTCATTTTTTATGTATGTTTAGCGATAATTCTTTAACACCTTGTCCGATTTCTATGATTATTTTTTGTTAGTAAGAGGGTACCTCAGGGGTGGTCCCATATAAATTTGGTTAAGATGTGGAGACGAAATCTGCATGATTTTGAAGTCGGTTTTTTAAAATTACTTTAAATACTTGTTGTGTTGTGTGAGAGATATGGCTTCGGACAGTGTCCATTTGCCACAGAATGTTTAACTTTAAATACTTGTAGGTAATAATTTTGTTATACATGTTATAAACTGATATTAGTCATATACCTAATTTCAGATGTATGGATCCATATACAGACTCTTCATTTTTTTTTATACCTTGTGGCTGCTTCCAAACAGTTCTTTTTTAAATCTGACTTCAATCTCGAAAATGAAACTTTTATAATGTTAAGAGTTAAACCAATGTATATAGTTTTCAATCCTTTATTAGAAGTATACAAAGTTTCAAAACCATACATTTTTAATAAAATACAATTGGCCATACTTGAACTCGCTTACAAAAACAAGTCACTGTGAACTAAATTAAAAGCCGCTATCTCATAAATTAAACACTGGTATTTTGTTGTGCCTACCGATCACCATTTTAACTGCCAAAAGGTCCACATGCTTTGTAACGTCTAATTCTCTGAATTGCATCTGTTTAGGACTTGTCTTCCCGCCGGTCTAGTTTGCAAATTTCCACAAAACAACCTACAATTGATGGTCCAATCAGGCGCTAAAGGATCTACCGTAAACACTATGCAGATATCTTGTCTGCTCGGCCAAATAGAATTGGAAGGCAAACGACCGCCTGTGATGATTTCTGGAAAATCATTGCCTAGTTTTCCAGCTTTCGAGTTTTCGCCGAGAGCTGGTGGTTTTATAGATGGACGGTTCATGACCGGTATACAACCGCAAGAGTTCTTCTTTCATTGTATGGCTGGACGCGAGGTAAGAAATGCTAAGTTTGTACCAAGAGAACATACGATTTTTTAAGTTGATTCTGATCAAAGTTAAGCAGGCTGCTGTTCAACTTTCGTTAATTTAATTTTTAGGGTCTTATTGACACAGCTGTTAAAACAAGTCGTAGTGGTTACCTACAAAGATGCCTCATTAAACATTTGGAGGGACTTAAAGTTGGATATGACATGACTGTGAGGAACAGTGACCAAAGTGTTATTCAGGTAGGTTATATTATATTCCAAAGTTTAATTAAATATTTAAATAATACCTTGTTTAATTATGTCACGAATTTGTTTTATGTGGAATCATGTACAAGGTTGATTATTTAATAAATATGAAATAGTCGAATAACAATAAACTATGAAAAAAGTTACAAAGAAAATCTTGGGGAGACGCACGGGGCTTTTGCCACAGGGCAGAATTCTCGGTGTGGGATACTCTTCCAGTAGCGGCTCCAGGTCATGGAGACTCTGAATCTCGATCGTGAAAGGTAAAAAGTCGGTTTTGTTTTGAATCGCGGTTTTAATTTTGGTCAAGGGTTGTGACATGCCTCAGATATTGAAGTTGATAAGTTAATTTTTAGCCAATATTTGTGTATGTCGGGCTGTGACCTATTTTTATCGAGCCGACCCATCTTAGTAGATTGCAGTAGATACCGATGCCAGCAAGTTTCGAAGTAATAATCAAATGCCTTACTGAAGTCGGTGTAAACAGAGTAGTCCACAATCTTTCTGCCGTTTAGACTTTTCAAAATGTATTTATTCAATGTAAAGAAATTAAAAATAAATACACTCAATAATTAAGCAATAATTCCAGTATAGTCAGTAGTTAAAACATATTTTTTTCTAAATTAATTTATCTATTTGGAGTTAGTACGATTTAAAAAATATTTAAAAAGGTATAGGTAATAATAGTTAGGTCCAAATAGAACCTTTATAAAAGTTGCTCTTATAACATTTAAAATAATTTTAGCAAACATATTTTTGAATTCCCATGATAAAAAATATAAAATAACATCACTGTTGACCTAAATAATGCTGCTATGCAACAAAATGATAAAATGTGACCATTTTGTCACCCTCCCTGAAAACCTAATGAGTGCTGTAGAGCTACAAAACACCAAAAAAATGAAAGTATCTCGTCTACATTTCAAAGAAATTATTTTAGACATTGTAAAATACACGTCAAATAGATTTTATGTATAATCTCATTAATTTTAATTTAATTTTAATTATTAAATAGTAAATAGCGTGTGTGCAATGCACCGCTTGGGCTGCCCGCGCTCATCGTCTCCTTTAGTTGTTCTAGTAGTCAAAAAGATTAATTAACAAGTTTGCGAGCAGAGAAAATTTTTTGGCAGCAGTATTTTGATCAAAAATAAAAGAAGGTATATTGAAAATTTTTAAACTGTCTTATTTAAAAATTCTTAGATGTATCGCCGGCCAGTATATCTGCAGTCTTGGCCATTTGATCCTGAAACCTACATCCCAAGACAGTTTAATGTAAATCAAAGTTCTACATTAACATCAAAGGACATACATTCCAAGGTCAAACGTCCTTATTGTGAGAGCGCAATGAACATGAGCTCAGTCCATTGATATCGTGCTACCGATTACTTGAAAAATTTGCGGCGATTTTAATCTTTTGTACGGAAATTCGCTGAAAAGAAAAGCAACAATTAAATTTCAGAAGCGGAGGATGTTTATGGAAGGCACCTAAAAATAATCATCTTTTTTGCAATTGATGGGGTTCAATATAAAAAGTGGACACATCCATAATTTTACTCTATTAGCAACACAACAGTAGTGTAATTGTAAAAAATAACAATTAAACTGCATAAAGTGAACATTATTGTTATTATTAGACACAAGTAAAATACACGAAAGGGGAGTAATTTATGAAAATTTAACCATATGTCAATTGTAGTATAAAGGTCTTAAAAGTTCATAACGATTATAATACACCTATTAAATACTGCCCAAACATAGTGGGACCGTATACCATTAATTAAAGTTACCTGGTGTCAAGTAATTCCAATAATCACTTTTTCTGCATTTCTTGAATGGCCACTAAATTTTTCCTTGCAGATATCACTGGAGGCCAAAAAAATAATTGTTGAAAATTTTATTTTTTATTTAATTATAATTTATTATTATTATTTAATTTTTTCGTATATTTTTTTGACATATATTTAGATTTCTACAGTTTATCTCTGTCATTTTTTCTATATTCTCAAGGTTTTTAGTAAGTTTCATATATTTTTTTTCTTTTGTGGCAGTTCTTGTATGGTGAAGACGGAATGGACATATCGAGAGCGCAGTTTTTTAACCAAAAACAAATGAATTTTTTGGCTGAAAATGTCAAAGTTCTCACTCAAACTGACGTCGTAGAACAGGTTAAAAGCCACGAAAATCAAAAAGCAATAAAAAAGCATAAAAAGAAGGTACACATTACAATTTTTATGATAAAAATATATGCATAATAAAAAATTTAAATGAATAACACGATTATTTTTGTAGATATCTGACTGGAGAAAAAAACACGGTAATCCACTGTATTATAGAAAAAAAAGCCCTTTTACATTTTTCGCTAGATACGTCAAAAATAAAGTGGGCGATACAAAGAAGTTAAGCACACAACAATTATCACAACTTTGGTATGAATTAGATCAAGAAATAAAAGACAGGTAATTTGTTTAAAAGTTATTTATTATGTATGGTATATAATCTGCACTCTACTTGTCCTCTTTTTGTTTATTTGGTTCTAAGTTTGTCGTGGACGACATCTTCTACTATCACATAATGTCATATATTTATAGTTTTACTGCTCAATGTGAACGATGTCCAGATACGGCGGAATCTATATATCAACCTGATGCAAATTTTGGAGCGATCAATGAAAAAATCGAAAGCCTTATCGACAGTCATGCGAATTTCAAACGAAAAAAGAACAAAAAGGAGTTCCAAGACGTTATAAAATTGAGAGTTATGCAATCAATGTGCGCGGCAGGGGAACCAGTCGGTTTACTAGCAGCTCAGGTAGGACGTATTATTAAAATATATCCAAAGCTATCGCTAAAATATCGTTTTTAGTCCATCGGAGAACCTTCCACTCAGATGACGCTCAATACCTTCCATTTCGCCGGTAGAGGTGACATGAACGTCACTCTGGGTATTCCCAGATTGCGAGAGATCCTAATGATGGCATCCAAGAACTTAAAAACGCCCTCCATGGAGATACCTTTCCTGAACATTCCCCATTTGGAATTTAAAGCTAACGAGTTACGTAAAATGTTGACCAAAGTTGTTGTAGCTGATGTTCTGGAAACTATCGATGTCACTGCTGAGTTACAGATAAAACCAATTAGGTATTGTTACAAATTAATAATGGAACAGTTGGTCCATCTTCAATTTTTGCACAATTACTAATTATATTTTTGATACAGTTTGGAACATCGAAAATTAGCTATTGCAATGTATTTAGCGCAGATATGGAAACAAGTGGTGGTGGGATGGGGCCATATAGTGGGCAGTTCATAAGGAATGGAAAATATTTTAAACATAGGTTCAGGACAAAATATTAATATTTTGCTAAATAATATTGGGTCAAATGTTATTTACTTCTGAGATACAGGATGTTAAAGTGAACATTTATTTTTTTTGCAATATTTTCGTTTTTATTTAACGTATTTTTGGGACAGTAAATTATTAGCATGTTATCAATTTTAAGATTAGACACTCTACAGAATGAAGAAATTTATCTATTCTTTTTAGTTTTGGTATTTATACAAAAAATTAAGTCTTTGTGGTACAAAACAAAAAACGTATACTTGTTTTAATAGTAAAAATTGAATCCATTTCGAAAAATTTGCATTTAAAATTTTCTAGCTGCAATATCTATTTAATTTATTTTACATTTCAACAAAGTAGGCTTGAAAACAAAAATCGGTTGAATTTATGCTATTAAAACAAGTATACGTTTTTTGTGCATGTTTACCATAAAGACTAAAAAAATGCCAATAAAAAAAGAATAGTTTGCTTGATACAGTATAGTGTAGATGACGCCCTCTTTGTCTAATCTCAAAATTGATAACATGCTATGATTTACTAGCCCAAAAATATAACCATACCAAATGTCAAGTCAATATGTTAAATATTACCGAAAATATTGAAAAAAAAAAAAAAACGAAAAATAAATTTTATCATTAACTCTCAGAAGTAAATAATATTTGACAGAGTGTTATTTAGCAAAATATTTATATTTTGAGGTCCTGAATAAAATATTTTCCCTTCTTTATGAAACACCCTGCATAAGAAACCAGTATATCGCCAATAAAATAATTAACTTTTGGCACCAACAATTTCAGGCCCGGTTTTCGATTTATTAATTCTCAAGCTTTGTTATTTTTGAGTTAAAAAAAAAGATATTTGAAAAAGATGTATTTTAACGACTCCCTTCAACAGAGTTAAAAAATATCAACGTAGGATTCGTCCTATATAAAATATATCTTGACAATAATTTGAAATTTAAGAACTAGAATTGCATTACAAAAATTTTCTTCTTGATGTTTTGCAGTCAGAACTGTGACAAAAGAATTAGGTTTTTAACCAGCAAAAAGTGTATATTACACTCTATTTGAATCCCATTTAAGATATGGAATTGCATTTAAAGGTGTAGTGGGAATCATAATATACCTAAAATTGTAATATATACAGGTAATTTCAGATAAAATTCGTACATGGAAAATCAAATAGTTCTTGCTTAGTTTAGTTGCATCATTTATTTTGCAGCCGTCTTATACCTGTCATGAAACAACGATTAGCAGTTCGTGCATATTGAAAAGCGTGGACACCTAATTATATCTAGACATAAGAAAATAAAGAGAGTAGCTCTCGACTCTCATATCTGCCTGCCGTAATTGGACGTATAGCTGGTAGTGGGATAGCAAGTTTGCTCTATTTCTATCTATTCAATAGCTGTGTCAATAGCATTGGTTTTCTATACAGTCAAACAACTATACCTGCATTATTGTGAACTATTCTTAATTTATATTTTTTGTAAAGCTATAAACAAATTGACTTTCAAATCAAAAATTGAGATATGTTCAAAATTTTAAGCTTGATTTTTTATATTAGAAATTCGGTTGCTGAAAAATCTTGTAACTAACTCTTAAGACCTTGGCAATTTTGGAATTAATTGATTATTAATGCTAAAATTATGTCTTATCTAATTTTAAAATATTCGAGAAATTTGGCAAAAACAAAAATAGCAGAATATTAATCAAGGTCGTGTTATATTTTGGACGATTATTTTACTAGACCAAATATTGACTATTCCTCTAGAGAAATAGTTAAATAGTCTAAATTAGTGTCCGTACATTCAATATTATGATTTCCAAACTGATTATTTGGTAGGGAACATTAAAGGGTTAGCATTTTAGTTTTTTCCATTTTTACACACAAATAAATAGTTGGCATCGCACCATACTTTGATTTTCTTATAAAAAACGTAGGTGTCATTGTTGTGCCATAAAATCGTGGTGTCATCAACAAATAGTTAAAGTACCTGCGATGTCAAGTTGAGCTAAGTCATTTACATATTGGTCCCAACATAGATCCTTGAGGAACTCCCCAACTTATATCTAAAACTTGTGAGTCTTTGGTAGCTCTTACCATTTGCTTACTTTTTGAAAGATAAGATTTTACCCAATTCAACACTTCGTCTTTTATTCCGTAAACACGAAGTTTTTGCAACAATAGTGTATAATTGACATAATCGAAGGCCTTAGTCAAATCACCGAATATCACTGCTACATCTTAGCGATTCGTATTATGTACAGTACATAATACGAATCGCTAACGTACAGTTTACTCTGATGGCTAATGTTTGAAGTTCCAGACTAACATTTCTGCCGTTTCTTACTATAAAATTATACTTCTCGCCTAAACTATTAAATAAATACAGTTATATACGAGTATCTGCTCTCTGCTCTATTTGATGACAAACATCTAATAAATCATCATTTTAGGCAACATAAGTACACGGTGAGATTTAACTTTTTGCCAAAAAAATACTACAGTATGGATTACTGCGTAAAACCGAGGAATATTTTGAATCACATGAAAAAGAAGTTTTTCAGCGAAATGTTTTCGGCCATCAGAAAAGTCAGCAAAGTTAATTCGAATATGTAAGCATAAAAATAATAGTTTCAAGAAAACAATTGAATTTCTCTTCTATTACATTAATTGCTTAATTTACAAAGCATCTTAAAATGTATCCACATGTAAATCCTTAAAGATGAAAACGTCATTATAATTATTTGTCGCCCCACGTTGGGCGCCATTTGTTATGTTAAGATATTCGTATTTAATTATTTTACCCTTTACATATTATTCTGCTGATTTCAGAAAAACATTTACAAAAATGTAATTTGTTTATGATTTGAGGAAACATAACCTCATTTATTTGAATTTTACTAACAACAGTAATGATTCAAAGTATGACTGAAAAATCACGCCATAATCCAACTCTACTTTTTCTCTGAATTGACGTTTCTATCTTTAAGGACTTACACCGAGATAACTATTTAAAAATGCATTGCGAATATATTTGATTTTAACAGCGTCATGATGGAAGAAGAAAAATCAAGGCGTAACGTAGCTAACAATAAAGAAGGCGATGAACGGTCTGAAATAAATGAAGGACCCAACGATGACAACAGTTCTTCCGAAGATGAAGTCGAAGATCAAGAAGATGCTAAACAGACGCACAAGTACCAAGAAACGAGAGACGATTTAGAGCCGGAAGATGATGAGAAACAGGTTTCCGATGATGGTAATTTCTTTATTGGATCTTCGTGTTAGGTTTTGCTTTGTCCCACGCTAATTTGATATTTTTTAGACGATTCTGACGATGAGAACACTTCAAGACCGGCCGAAGAGCAAGACACTCTAACGCAACAAAATAATGTGGTTGTCGATTCTTACAATTTTGCTCAAAGTTATTATGAAGATAAACAGAAATATCTGTGGTGTGAAATAACATTTGGGGTGAGTATTGGCTTGATTACTGTTTTGATACCTTGGTTGTGTATATCTTTTGCAGTTACCTCTGAGTTTCAAAAAATTGGACTTGACTGCCATTTTGAAAGACGTCGCTCAGAAATCCGTGCTATTTGAAACGCCTCAAATTAAGAGAGCAATTACTTATGTCAAAGACGACAAATTAATGTTGAGAACAGATGGAATCAACATTGTCGTAAGTAATCTTATTAAAATGTACATTAATAGATGTTTTTTTTTATCGCAAATATATTTTAGGAAATGTTTAAGTACAACACTTTGCTCGATTTGGGTCAATTATATTGTAACGACATTCATAAAATAGCGGAAACATATGGAATCGAAGCGGCTTCAAAAGTCATAGTGAAGGTAATACATTTTTTAAACATTTTTTTTAAAAAGCACCAAGTGATCAATGGGAAACTTCATGGTAGACCGTAAGGTAAATTAACTCATTTGCGAGTCAAAATCCGCCAAGTTCAGTAGTGTATTTACGACAACAGTGTTGCCAATTGCGAAACTTTTATCCGATTTTTGGGTATTCTTACCGAACTATTAACTGTCATAAATTGACGCCTATAGTTTATTCATCAAAGCTTATAGCATTTTCCATTTAGTAGAATGCACTATTGCTTTAAAAAGTCATGTTTTAAGACTCCAATAAAAAAATTATTAACCACCAAGGTCCACATGAGGAGATAAAACTCCTCCCTGTGAGCATCCCTTGTTAACTTAGATTTCTCTTGTGTTAAACATATTACTGGTAATGGTTCTATGATTAAGCATGAACTCAACCCACTGCGTAAGTGCGTAATGTGCTACGCCACGCCTATGCATAAATTTCAGTATTGAATTGTACAAAGCCGAATCAAAGGCTCCTTCTATGTCTATGAATACTCCTAGTGCTATTTCTTTGCTTTCAAATGCTTGTTCAACCTTTTAAGCTAGCTTATGTATGGCTGTATCGCAAAACTTTCCAGATTGGTATGCAAACTGGTTTTGATTTATCAGGTTATCATGTAGAACATCATCATATATATATATCTATCAATTTTTCTAAGGTTTTTAAGAGAAATGATATTAGGCGAAGTGGTCTAAAATATCTGGTCTCCACGTAAGATGCTTTCTCTTGTTTGGAAATGAATACAACTCTTACAGACCTAGCTTTGTGGAACATATCCGAGGACTATTTAGCTCTGAATAATTTACACAGTGGTCTCTCCAGTACAATATGGCTCTTTTGTAGAAGTGTCGGGATTATACTGTCAGATCCTGCTGTCTTGTATGGTTGAAAAGAATGTTTTGTCCATTCAAGTTTTGTGTTTACTATTGTATTTACAAGAGACTAGTTTGTTTTTGAGGCCCTAGGAACTATTGCCTAGATACTCTTATCTTGGTCAGGGATAATCCCACATCCAAGGAAGTGTGACTTTAGTAATAACTGTATTTATCAGTTCTCCTTGTTGATTTTTCATAGATCCTATGCATCCTTGCCTTAGGTTTAAGATCTGATATATTCCAAACTCGTAAGTTACTGCTAGATAAAGTAAAATGGGTGACAAGAAAAATTTGGGGAATTTTATTTAGTTACAATATTGTATTCGAGGTAAAATAAATTTCCATACCAATGCTTGAAACCTAGTGATGATGAGGCTGAAGACAATAAAGAAAACTGATTACATAAACGTGAAAAATAGTTCCATTAGGTTTTTATTTTCAGTAAATTAAAACAAACCTGCAAATTAAGATTTTCAAGTGGTAAATGTAAATATCAAATATAATATGTCGACAGTAAACTTCCAATTATTCTATTTTTCACTTGATATAAGTTAATTTCAAGTGATTTCAATGATTGCACTTCTGACATGTCAAAAATTAACAGCTATTTTTTTTGTTAAACACACTAGCGGATCTTTACTCATACTATGATCAATTTTAGCCAATTTTGTTTGAAATTACCTTACCGTTATACCATGAGAAACTCAGGAAATACGATGACATTGACATTTTTTGTTTGTTTTAGGAAGTCAAAGACGTATTTAATGTGTACGGAATTAAAGTCGATCCCAGACATTTGTCGTTGATAGCTGATTACATGACATTTAACGGCACTTTTGAACCGTTGAGTAGAAAGGGAATGGAAAACAGTGCTTCGCCTTTGCAGCAAATGTCATTTGAATCATCCTTGGTATTTCTACGAAATGCTATAATCAGAGGTAGTACTTTTCACCAACCAATTTATGTATTTTTTACGGTGCATATAATGAATATTATCGAAAATATATAGCAAAAAATAGATAGGGATACTTTATAAAAGGGATTGAATATGTTTTTCTCAGTAGCTATGGATTTAACTAAATTTAAATATGAAGAACTCTTATATTTAAACAACACAGTTTCTTACAAATATATTTGGCAATCCAAAATGCTGCTCGAGGGTAATGACAGGTTATGATATGGCAACCCTGTAAGCCTGTTGTCTTTGACGGGATCAATGATATCTATATAGTTATATAAAGCGGGTCGTTTTGCGAGCGGCCATATTGTCTCGCAAGTGCTAATCAGAATCGGTTTAACAAAAATGTGTTTTAAAACCAATTTTCAGCTTTGAATATAGTAAAAAAAATAATTTCCTATATTTTTACTTCAATGCATAAGCCTGAACGATTAATCTATATAACTATCTATATCATAACCTGTCATTACCCACGGGCAACCATTTTGTTTGGAATGCCTAAGTGGAAAAAATAAATCTTCCATTTTTTTGGGCTGTAGGACAATTTACCCAAAAGCATAAACATCTCCACACTTTTTTGGACAATCTCCCGTCTTCTACATATCCTAATATTTTCTTCAATTTTGAACTATTATCTCAAAAGTTGCCACTTACTTCTGTATCTGTATGGTGGGAAAGGTTGGTTGCCCCATACCACTTGGGCCTCACTAGACTCATTGTAAGTCTGTATAGGCCTCTTCTATCGTCAGCCAGCCTTCATATTTAATGTAGTTAAAGTGACCTTATGTTGATTGGTATTGTCCAATACTCGCCGAACACAAATCTAATAGATGCGAGTGTCAGGCAATCCTAAAGAATTAGCTTGATAGTCTCATCTTCGTGTTCGCACTCCCTACAGAGTGCAGATTCAGTGTGGTTCTGATCGATCCATGCTGTAGAGATTCTTGAGTACTTGGCAATGACCAGTCAAAATATCTGTGATCAGGCCCAGATTATGTCTAGTCGTAGTCAAGTATTTGTTTGCTGTAGTGTTGGCAAGGTAATTTTAAAGCTCCCAACCAACATGCAGCTTCTTGTTTTATCTAACATTTCCTTGAATTTCATGAAGTGTTCTTTAATTAGGTTTGTCATGACCGATCTCGTTAGTTTAATGGAAGGACTAGTTCCAAATAGTATTAGGTTGACTACCTTCTTGGGTAGTTAGCGAGTTGGTTCTTTTGATCTGTCGGGGGCTTCAGTCCATCTTAAGGTGACCACATTGACTTTTGGCATTCTAGGAGTAACGTTGAATAAATTCGTGGTCTGGCTACGGTGAGCAGTGCTTGTCTGCTGTCTGTATTGATAAGCATGTTCCTTCCCTTGAGCTCAGGTTGAATAGCCCTTTTACTTAAAGATACATCTATTAAAAGTGGCCTTTTACATAATATGCAACTACCTAACAAAAAATATTACATAGATATGATCAGCAGAAATAACAAAAGCCGCGAGATGCGCCAAATTTAGACACAACACAACGATAGCCTCTATTATTGGCGGCTTCAGCTATTTCTGACGATCTGTAAATATCAAATTTCTGAAATAGAAAAATTGAGAATTCCCAATTGGTCTCCTTTTATTCCATATCTTTCAGTCCAAACTTAAATATTGCATCAAAGAGATTTTCTAATTTCTACCTTTTTTTATAGGACGTCAAGATGATTTGGAGAATCCCTCTAGCAGTTTAATGTTAGGAAAACCATGTAGTACTGGAACAGGTGCATTTACATTGCTACATAAATCATTCACGACAGTTAACTAATTTTATTCTTTTTATTAAAGTTTTGTGTTTGAATTTACGTTTATATAAAAGTTATATTTTGAAAATTTTGTTTTATTGTAACAAAATGTCGTCATTACTATCTCTGATCGGATTTTATTATGACTAAGTAGGATTGATTGACAAGCTAGTTGTGTCAAGAAAATGATAAATGATAATTATGTACGTACTTGTGACATTTTTTTGTTAACTTTTGTTTACATAGGTTTAAAATCTCTAACAAGAAAGCATTTTGTCACTGGAAAATGCACAGTGGGCTAACAAGAGGTGAAAGAAAGGGATAGAAAAATAATATTTTAAAAACAAAGATTATTTAAAAATATGTAATTTATTCTACCAAAACATTAAAAACGACAAATATAAATAAAAAATTATACAATTATTCTAAATAAAAAAATATATATACAATTCTGAATAAAAACCACAAACGGTAAGTAATCTTTTAATTCTTTTTTGCCTCCTGTTTTTCTTTGGCTAAATTCAAACTTTCTGTGAAAAACTGGTTGGGATGACTGATCATGTTTGACGGGGGTTGATTGTGGGTGTACTCGAAAAATTTGCTGCAGGCAATCTGATAATGTCCTCCATTTACCAATTCTATAATCGAATTTACACCTGCGGAAAAAAAGTTTATTTACCCACCCACTAGTGTGGAATATTTTGTTGATTCCAACTTTCAAAGGTAAGAACTAAAAAATTATATACAAATCTGCTCAGTTTTACTGGGTAAGTTTGAAAACAAGAAAAATTAAAACTGGGAAATATATTCACTTGCTTATTGTAGGACATGCCGTATATTGCGCTATGTAATAAAAATTCGATATAGATTGTTGTAACTTTGACATATTTTAGTTAATAAAAGTTGTCTTAATTCTGAAGATACTTTATTACAATAGCGCAGTCAGAAAACGAATTTATGCAGATAAACTACAACAGAAATGTAGATGAGGGAGCTGGCAATCATACTGGCGTATCAAACCATGGAGCACATCGAGAAAATAACAACATATGTATCGACAAGGAAGACATTAACATGAATGTGTCAATGGCTAAGACTAGCTTCGATTTCCAAAAATAAAGGTTCCATTATTTACCGGTATCAATACAGACCCAAATTCATGTATCAAATCTTATGAATACATGACAGAATTGAATAACTGGAACAGATAAGATATTCAATCTTAGGTTTAGTTTGGATGGAATTACTTTAAATGGTATGAACAATGTTTCAGAACAGTGTTGATGAAAATATGAAATGGTCGGATTGGAAAATGAGGTTCGTAGAGTTTTTTTTTTATGAAGATACAGTATTCAAATGGGAAAAGAATTAATTTCAAGTTTTTCAAAGGTTATCTCGTGGAATATTTCTATGAGAAATTGCCGAACTGGGCTGACAATGCATTATCTGAATAATCCATTATAGCCCATATCATATTAGGTCTACCCTTTTATATTCAACAGCAATTTTGTAACAATACTCCTAAAAATAAGGACCTCTTTACAAGCTTTAAAACTGATTAATATTAGAACAAACGAGAGACAAAATTTCGGAACCAGATATAAAAATGAGATACCAGAAAAGATGAAATAAATGATTTAGAACTTTATTCGTCCTATTCAAATTTTCCAAGTTTCTTAGAAAGAAACTAAAATGTAATACAAATTTTACTTAATGATGACATAATTATACATGCTTTAATAGATACATGCTCAGATTTAGACATAATAAATAATGCTATTATAAAAAAAATAAGCTTAAGAGATTTGATTATGAACATTTGAGCAGCTGTAAAGATTACGTTCAATAAGAATACAGGGGGGGATATCGCGCATAGTGTCATGGCGGCGCTGACGTCATGCGTAGAGTTAGTAGAGTTGGCGCCAAGTAAATATCATACGACAGATGTACGTTGCAGTGATTTGTAAGTTATTAATAACAGTATTCTCCGTGAATGGTATTAGTGATAAACATTAAAAAATGAGGTACGCAGTTTACGGATGTAACAGTAACAATCAAAGCAAAGGGGTTAAAAAAGACGTTATTTTTCACATTCCTCGACAGAAAGAGGTTACTCATAAATGGCCAAAGGGCGGCTCTAGTTGTAGGTCCAAGGGAGCCTCACCTCTTTCTTAATTAACATTTTTACATTCCATGAGGCCTTTATTAAAAAAATATACTAAAAAGGGAAATGCTATAGGCAATGCTACCCACTCCTCCTCGAAAATTTGACGAAGACGCCCTTGTAGTGGCCTGTGGCCGTGCAGATAACTTTTACTTTGTCATGGGTGCTCCAAGCACTTTTAACCTTTTTTAATTATACGATTAACCTCAAAGCAAACCTTCACGTTAGTTCATTCGCAACTTAGGACTTCTTAACTGGGGACTCTACCCTTTTGAAAGCTAAAAATTTCGCAATATATAGCAAAGGTGAAATTGTTTATGTCGCAAAAAAATAAAATTTCGGCATGTTGTATTTGTTGAAAGAATTAAAAAACTATCATTGACTCGGTCCAGGAAAAATGCAGTGACATTTTATTTTAATTTTGTATATACACCTACCATGTAGCAGTTATTTGTATTTGGTACATTTATTTTTATGCTTTGCATTATATTATATGTATAAAAAATACTTTTTAAAACCCTGTTTTTGTTATCATACTTAAATCCCATCTTATTCATAAAATAAGTTGTTAATTATGTTCAATTGAGTAATATATTTTAGATAAATGAGTCATCAGTTGCGAATCCTAATCAGGTAAATAGACCCAATATGCGAAATTTTGACCCAGGGTCCCCAGTTGAGAAATTCCGAGTTGCGAAGATACCCTTCTCTTTATCCTGGTTACAGAAACTATTTTTTAGACGTCGAATGTTCTTCAAAATTAAAACCTGCATTAAAATTTATATAACAAAAATAAATCATCAAAAAGAAAAAGGAAAAAACTGATACTTCAAATAAATATTTCTTTCATATATGTATTTAAGTTTATTTTTCTTTACAGCCCTTTCCTTATCTATCCCATAATAATATCCTTAGATATTTGATGTCATTTTTAAAATATTTTTAATATTTATGAAATTTCTATAAATAACATTTAGTTTCCTCATACTTCCGACAGTATTTTTAAATTCCCGCCTATACAAACTCTAGGCATGACGTCATGCGCGTGGTCGTCCTATTTTTGACACAGTTGATATCCTACCTTCTATTTTTTATACCATGATAAGAATAGTATTAAAATAAAGCCTGCTATTGTGGAAAATTTAAGTTTTGATTTGATAATTGGCAGAAAATCTATAAAAACCAAATATTTTCAGTTATTTACTAAAAACTCATTTTAATTTTACTGCATGATAACATTCGTCAAAGATTTCCAAACATATTAAATTATGACGGCACAAAACCTTTAACTTTTGAAGTAAAATTTAGTTTAAAAGAAAATTGTAAAATAATAAAGACAAAACCTTACAAATTTTCTTCATATAAGCAAACTCGGATTAGAGAGAAATCTGAAGAAAGGAATTAGAACAAGATCAACATCCACGCATATGCTTCGCCGTGTGTGCTGAAAAATAAATCAGATGGATCATTTAGATTTTGCATCGATTTCAGAAAAATAAACGAAGATACTGAGACTGAGTTAGATCCTTTCCTGTTTCCCATGATAAATGATGTTATAGAAAAGTTTGAAATTTTTTTCAAATCTTGATTTAAAGGATGTATTCTGGGAATATTAGTATTACAAGAGAAACAAGAAAATTTACTACATTTGTGACTGAAGATGAACATTTTGAATTTACTAGATTATCATTTGGCTAGAAAAATTCCAGCGCCGCATTTCAAAGAATAATGCAGATCGTTGAAGATCCAAGACGTGGACACAATTAGTAGATTGTGTATAGATATTCCAGAAAGTACCACAGAATCTTTCTGGTGCAATTTAAACATTCATAATCTAACTAGAATGGAGAATGGGAAATATCTAGTGAAGACAAAGGATATGATAAAAGATATTCTTCAACTGTATCATGATGATCCATATTCAGGGGGAAATAATGGATATTACAAAATTAAACAGCGCTTTTATTGGAAATCTATTAGTAAAGACATAAAAGAATACATTAAAACCTGCTCTGTCTGTCAACATGTCAAATTTAAATATTTGCCCAACGATTTTACTGAAATGTGTATTATCACATTGCCAAACGTGTTCTTGAAAGAACGTGAAATCAAAGGGAAGATAAAGTGAATGATGAAAATCAATGAAAAGTTGCCAGATCGTTGTAGATCATCCAATTAGAAACTACTTTTTTATCAATGACACTACTAACACTGATACCAATATATACTAATAAAGGGAGACATTCATGTTTTTGGGATTCATATAAAAACTTTTCAGGGCGTGTATGCTTTTTGATAAAAGAATAAACATACGAAAAAATATTGTTTCGCATTTATTATCTTACTTATGAACAAAAGAAAATCACCTCAAGTATGAAATATTAAAATGTATGATTATTCCACTGAGACTAACTTTATATGAAATGCAAATCCAATCTTCGGTTTTGCTTAGCAAATTCATCTATAACATTGTCGTAAAAATTTGGTTTGTCAAAAAGTTTCTGAAGTAGTTCTTGTTCGATGGAAATCATTGCCAACGCAGAAAGTCTTTCTTGTTCCGTAGAATTTCTGATAAAGTTTTAATCCTTTTGAGTATAGAAAAACTACTTTCTACTAAGGTATGGTGAGTGTAAGTTCACAAAGCTTGAGCGTTTCAGGGCAAGCATGATGTAGTCCACATTTTTTTATTGATTTTAATAAGTCACTAACACTATTTTTATCAAGCATTCTGAAGTATTGTATACACTATACAGGGTGTTCCTTAATGATATGCGAATATTTAAGGATGTAAATCTACATGAAAAATTGATGAGAGTTTGCTTCATAATATGTGGTACTAAAAATGTTCGGTAATGAAAATACAGGGTGCTAAAGTTTTAGAAAAAGAATTAATATTTTCATAACGCTTGAAATATTTCAGCGATATTTACTATTTAGTGACAGTTAACCCTTAAATACTATATTGGAGTCTCCCAGACTCCTTAAATTTTTTTACTCAATACATTACGAATACCGCTAACATGATCTCCACCACCCGCCATGTACCTTTCATCCCAATATATTTATGCATCGTCCCAGGTTGGTAGTGCACAAAGCAGTTGTATGGTGAATATATTCATTCAAATTCTAAGCAGAGTCTCACAGACTCATTTATAGTGTAAGTGTGACAATTTTTGGATTTTATAAATAATAGCTAATGTGCTTTTGTTTGTTTTTTAAGTGTTTGAAATGTCTCAGTTACCGTCTATACCAAAAAGAGCTAGAGTGGGAGATGCCAATAATTATGAAAGTATTCTTGAAAAATGGTTTGAAGAAGACGACGCCAGCGATGTGAACGAAGTTGGAGAAGATCATGCGCTGAACACGGAATATGACAGAGCTAGTGATAAATCAATGTCTGAGGTAGAAGAAAATGTAGAAGATAGCGACGGAGAACTGGACGAAGATCTTGAAGTGATAGCGATGGCCACCAGACAAAACATTATTATTATT